TTTGTCAACACAATATCAATTTTTAAGCACGTCTGCTTTGGAATAACTCGCTCTGTTGAATCGGACGTGTCACAAACTTCAGGCTCTGCACTTCTCAGAGCCGAAGGTATTAAAGAATAACCGAAGCGGCTTCGGTTTCTCTAAAGCAGCTTTGCTCTCTATCAGCTGAATTTTTATTCTCTTCGCCCAAGTAAATATGACAAGAAGGAAGATTAAAAAAATAAAATAAACTATTCAGTGYAGTGAAAAATCAGCAAGACAGTGGGGGGGTGGTGGATAAAAGGGTTGTTTGAGTTTTGCAACGCCTGGTGTTTTTGTAAAAGGAAGACGCAAGATTTTGACAAACTGTGATGAAAGGAAATAATGTGCGGTTTGGTTGTTTTTATGCTTGAACATTTGCTCCAGTGTGACTCTGATATTTAAAAAGAAGGCTTTCTCTCTGCAGGGTGTGTTTCGATGTGTTTGTTGGACGTGTGCTGACTTCTCTCTCATTTTTGCTGAGGTGACACTGCAGCTGCTGACTTTTTCTGCAACTCAAAATTTTGATTCAGTTTCCTCCTCAGAGACTCTACTGTTCATTCCCTAAATGTCACACAGTGGAGATGCAGGGCGGTGTGCATTTTCTTTGCATGAAACCGCATCTCCTCAGATGATTTATAATGCTGCTAAAATAAATAAATCAAAAAATCTCTAAAAAAAAAACAATTAAACTGTATGTTCCCCCAAATACATAATTATTCAAAGTCATCACACTTCCAGGAGACTGTGAGAAAATAAATCATCTGATCATGCGGCAGCAGTGTAATGTCTGATTTTACTTGACTTTTTTGCTCAGCAGRTATTGACAAATGTGCCTATCTGACTAATTTATTGTCAAGTGAAGCTTTCGGAGCACTGCAGCGGCAGCATGGATTAATTTTGCTATGTTTGCTGATAAGCAGTTTCCTGCTCTCAGGCTGTGGCTCTATTTTTCCAATCCTAACTGACAACTGCATTTGTACAGCTCAAACTGCCTTTTAGGACTGAGACTCACGTTTTTAATAAAGCTGTGAGCAGAAACCGAGAGAAGAGCTGCAGACACTTTGGGAGCTGAGGTTTGACAAAATCGAYATCCTTTACAAGCTGCGTGTTGAGTAGAAATGTTTCGTGTTACTCGAATGTCAAGATWCGGCTCGAGTTTTTGCAGCTTAAAATCTGCTCCAAAGCATCATATGGTGTCCATTATTCCCACTGTGAACCAGTCTCACACTGTATGGGCATCAAGTGGCTCCAAACTGCACCGCGTCACACACTCTGCTGTCTGTGTGTTTGAGAAGCATCGCATCATCTTCTGCCTAAGATGAGACAGAAAAATAACAACTATTTAAAAACACCACTTTTTAAATGATCCTTTTAATTCCTTCAACAATTAAGGACTAAATTTAACAAGCCTCTCGGAGCACCTGCYTTTGATTTTGTGTTCATCATAAATACGTTTGACCAACGCTATTGTGTGATTTTATTTTAAGTCTAAGTCAGGGGTAGATAACTGGTGGTCCACGGGCCATATGTGGCCCATGAGTGACTTCCGTCTGGCCCGCCAATGAAAAAAAAAAATTTCTTTTACTTAAAGGGGCGATATTATGTGCTTTCCAAGCCAATTTTATCCTAAAATAAAGTAACTATGTCACATTTTCAGCTTATGAAAGAGCTATATATTTGTAAAAATCGCCAAAACAATTTACTTCTCATCTTGACAGTTTCTAAACGCCTTGAAACAGGTCTGTCTTTAAGAAAATCCAACCACTTAAGTCACGCCCATTTCAGCACTTACTGTAGCCTGCCGGAGTCGCAGAGCGGGTGGGAGGAGGGGGGCGCTCCGCCATGAGGAAGTTCGGCTTAAAGACACATCCCAAAGGAGGAGCTTGTCCCAAAAGGACACAACCCAGAGGCGTTTCTAGTCCCCACCTGTCGTTTTGCTCCTCAGCATGGCTGACTAAAAACGCTGCAGGATTTTTCAAACATGCAAGAATGAGTCAAAGCAAGGCTTTGTGTGTGTGTTTTTTATGAGAGTATAACATTATAACATGATATAAAACTCAAAAAAGTTGATTTTACATGATATTGCCACTTAAAAAAAACACTCGAAGCAGCTTTTAGATTAATCCTCTTTGGATCTACATGTGTGAACAGACATTCTCAGAGATRAAGTCCAGATCCTCACTGAACAAGCTAGTAAAATTAAAAAAGCACTGAAAGCACAAATTGCTTTTTGTATCAACTTGATACTGTGTTGCAAAACAGAAGACTGACATGTTAAAATGAAATGAAACATTATGATTGTTTTTGGTTTAACTGTTTAAATAGGAATATTTTCCTTTATGACCAGCATCACAATTTCACATAAATATTTACAACATATCCTTAATTAGCAGTATAGCAGCTAATCAAAATATATAATTTACTGCTCTTAACGGGTGAAAAAAAATAACAAAATTAAGTAAGGTATTGTTGGTTTCAGCCCTCTGTCATAGCTCAAGTTTCTAATGTGGCCCCCCAGAAAAAAAATAGTTTCAAACCCTTGGTCTAAGTGATTTAAAAAATGGGTATTATTTGTCTTAAACTGAACAAAATCTGATCAAAAAATTGCCACTTGAACTCAATTTGGCAGCTTTGAAAAATCCAGTTCAGTGTGCTCAATCTGCCTATCATTTTAGTAGGATTTTAGCTGTGCTTTCTCAGCCTGAGTCTGAATGAACAATCGGTGGCAAAACATGATTTCRGAAAGACAGAGCTGAAACATTTATCAGTGTAAAATCTGACGGCACTGTCTGTTCGATTGATCTGTTATCTCTATCAAGGAGCTCTGTTAAACCTCTGTTAGTCACTGAAACTGAACGAGAGAATTAAACCTCCAGAATCCTCCCAGAACGCCTTTCTGCTGGTGACRGTGTATCTCTTCATCAACGAACCAAAGACACTGAATACAGTGTGTGAAATATGAACACGTGTCCTGCTCCATCCCACCATCACTCGTGAACAAAACATATCCATGAGCCGGAGACCACCTTTTACTGGTCAAAACCACGTTAGCCCGAAGACACGGAGGGAACCACATCATCTACAAAGAGCAGAGACCCAGAGAATCCCACCCTTCTCCTCTCCATGAGTGCACCTTGAGATCCTGTCCAAACACAAACAGGATCAGTTACCAGGGTCACGTGGAGTCCAACCTGCACCAGGACCCAGCTCAGCTTTGTGCTGGGGATGCACACAGCCTCTGCTTTGACCTTTATGTGACCTCAGCAGCCCTTATTCAGAACGCYTCTGGGAACACGGCAATACGCGTTTTTCCAGATCCACAGAACCCATGATGWAGACCGAAGAGTTWCACTCCCAGGAYCCTCTTAGCCACTCAGCAAGGGTGAAGATCTGGTCCACTGCTCCACATCCCAGATAAAGGCYACCCTGCTCCTCTTGGATCCGAGGTTTGACAGGGAGTGTCCCGTACGRCAAACACCCTGCAGATAAACTTGTCTGAACACGCCGTTCATGGAGGTGTGAGCAAAAAAACCAGCAGTTACTTCGTCTAATCCACTGTTTATTTACAGTGCCATATATGATGCTCCACTAACTGCAGAAGACCACCAAGAGTTAAGACCAGGCAAACAGGAGAGCACAACATAAAGACCAATAAGAGCGAAGAAAATTATGGATAATTATTTTAGATTTGAAAATAATCTGCTTTTAATTGCGTTCATCCGCTCACTTAAATTACTGGAGCTCTTAAACTTTTTTGACTGGGTTGAGGGCTAAATGTAATAAAGTCCACCGCTTGGTTTCAGCTCATACTCCTCTCCTCATCTAATCCCATTAGGGAACACGCTTCAGGAAATACAAGTGCCTCGTGGTAATGAAGAAATACATTAACAGAGCAAGAAAACAGCCTCGCTGAGAAAAAAACTGGGTTTCTCCCTCAGTAATTGTTGTGACATCTTCCTGCGGAGATCACATCTATGGTTTTGTCTTTGGCGATGCATTTGGCAACGACTGTGTGAAGTTAAATTAAATGTTTGGTGAAACAGTCGAATGCCGAATAAATATAAAAGGTGAGCAGGTGGCCTTTTGAAACCTGTAATAGACTTTTTCATGCAACTTTTTGGAGTTTTTGTGCAGAAAAAACTATTAATTCTCATTCCACATTTTTTAAGTTTTGTTTCTAAAAACTGTTCCTGTGGTTTAAGTTTTGTCTGTTTGTGTGGTTGTATGGAGTGATGCAGCAGTTCAGGCTGCTGTGAAGCTGCTGCATGGAGCAAAAGGAATAAAACATTATTAGATAAATATAGTAGCTGTCTTCTTGGGTCACTGCAGTGAACGAATGATTTGATCAAAGCGCAAGGCTCATTCAGCACAAGACTATTATGTAGAAAAATAAAAACTGAACAGGTAGAATGAAAAACAAACAACACCAAAAAGGACATTTGAGGTTTCATTACCGAGAATTATTATTAGATTTGACCCACTTTTAAAATGTCGACAGAGGATTTTAATACGGTTGCTGGCAGAACGAGGACCACTCCAACACGACTTGTTCCTGTTGAATTAAAAATGAGCTTCCACGTCCAAAATAAACCAAGACTAAGCAAACTGTGTTCCACAAACGTCCACTCGTGAAAGCCGGCGAGCATTATATTTAGAAATATCCTTTGAAAGGTGTATAAATATTTTATCTGGAACAATTCAGCACATTTGTTGCTACTGTTGTTTTTAGAAGAAAGTCTAAAATGAATTTCCAGGGATTGGAACTGTATTTGGTGCTCTGCTGCCCCCTGCTGGACTGTCCTTGTCACAGTTCTATTTTTACCCACACAATCAAGCCTCTTTACCTCAAAATATTAATGATTTTCTTTTCAATCAATCTGTGGTGATGCAATCTCACACACGGCCCCAACATGTCAGCAGCTTTCATGGGTTATTTAATTTAATAAAAGTCCAGGAAATAAAATATCAAAACAAATAACTCCAATTATTGACTTTATTATTCACAACAAAAGGCTGAACTGGATTGACTTTTTATTTGAACTGAAATCATTTCTTTGTTGCTTCTTCTTCCTTTGATAGGTTCTTTATGATCTCCTCCTTCTTGGCCTGGAGGCGCTCCTCTCTGCGTTTACGGGCCTCCTTCGTCTTCGTGCGACGAGCCTCAGCCTGGTCCCTGAATAGGTGAAGAGCGGTAGAAACCGAAAGAAATTAATTTCAAATTCAATAAAACGTCACAATACGCTTACTGACCAAAATAATTAAAACCACAACTTACGCCAGCAGCTTCTTGCGAGCCTTATCAGCCTTCAGTTTATGGATGTGCTCCATCAGGATACGTTTGTTTTTGAACACGTTGCCCTTAGCCTTCAGGTACAGACTGTGGTACCTGGAGGACACAAAACATCCCAGAAGATCTCAAAGCAAAATTATGATCCTGAAACATAAGGCAGCACTGATTTATTCTCCGGCACGCCTTGATGGGATTCACTCTTACATGTGCCTGTCGATTTTCTTTGACTCCCTGTAGCGACAAAGAAGACGGCGCAGGATCCTCATGCGTCGCATCCACGTCAACTTTTCTGGCATACGAGCATTGGCAGTACCCTTTCTTTTACCTGACAAAAAAAACACACATAAATTACTGATCAAACAAAAACTACTACAATTATACACAGCTCTGAATTCCTCAAATATGCAGTACCTGCCAAAGACAGAAATTTATCAGGGACAAAAATAATAATGTAAAATACCGACCCATTCCCTGTTGTCTATAAAATCAAACTTAACACTGCGTAAAAATAAAAGCCATAATGGACTTTGAGAGTAAGCTACTGCTCACCATATCCCATGTGACGTCCCTTTCGGCGTGCCAGGGTGTTTTTACGGCACCGAGCTCTGGAATGGACGGTCACTGGTTTCCTGATAATCAACCCATCCTTCACCAGTTTTCGGATCTGCTGGCCTGCAGCACAAACACAGAGAATCAGACAAATAAAATGGAGCAAACGATACGGAAATTTGGGGAACTTGCACCATAATAAAACAACTCACGAGAGTTTGCATTTGCGATCTCATTTGTTTCGTTGGGGTCCAACCACACCTTCTTCTTGCCACAGCGCAGGACACTGGACGCCAGGCGCTTCTGGAGCTTCAGCATACTGGATAAAAAAATAAAAATAAAATAACAATAAAGATTAACTACAAACATCACTTGTTGACTTCTCAAACATTAATCCCTATATAAAAACCTGACTGATAAATCAATAAGTACATTATAAACTGTCTCAGATGGCTTTTTCAGTACGCAAATAAAAAGAAATTGAAGTATTGCCTAAGATTTCTAAATAAATTAGTTGGAACTATCAGTCTGTAGTTCAGTTTTTAATAAATACCTCAAATCTGTCATGTTAAATTTCATATAGATTACTATATGTGTATTGCTATAGCATAGCATTGTAAATTAAAACAACAAATACCGTTATTTCAGCAGTTATGGTGTTTTATTTAGTATATTATACTAGTACAACTGCGTTATAATGCGCTATATTATTATTATTATTATTATTATTATCATTATTGTTGTTGTTGTGTTTGCTGACAGAGTGAGGCAAACGAGGAGCAGAAGAATATTTTGTCAAAACAAAAAAAACTATTATCTTGCCTATTTTTTGCTCTGCCTGCTTGACTAGACTTTTATCTCTASSTTGTTTGACTGATGGTGAAAARTGAGCAATAAACWTGATCAAYTGTTTGCAGCTAAGCAGCACCATCRRYWGTGTTTCTGTAACATGTTGATACATGTCCTGCTTTGACTTAGCATGATTAGCTTTCAAAGGCCCAAAACTGATTTTAAAGAAAATGTTCCCTTCAAACAAGACTAGCCCAAAAAATGTAATCTCAAGTATGATCTTAAACGTTCAAATCACGTACACCTTAATTATTATGTTGAGGATAAAAACTTTAAAAAGTCTTAAATTGTATRGCTTACCTTATGGCTGCCGCTAGCTTGACACAGAAGGAAATAGAACCAGTGAGGCTGTACCATTATAGCTAAACACATGGGTGACACCACTGTGGCAAAGTAATACATTTTGAAT